CAGGAACTGGCCCAGCCGGTTCAGCAAACCAGACACGCTGGCTGCAGCACCACGGGCTCCCCTGGCACACTCACCTTTGGCTCCTGCTGAGCAGGGCAACACCTGGGCAGGTGGGAGCCCAGAGCCCCGGGCAACCACGGCTCACCCTGGGCGACCATGGCTCACCCTGGGCGACCATGGCTCACCCTGGGCGTGACTGTCCCTGACAGCACAGGGGTGGCCAACGGGCAGGGCTGGCCAAAGTGGCCAGCCCAGGGATGCCAAAGGCAGGGGTGGCCAGCCCAGGGATGGCCAAAGGCAGGGGGTGGCCAAAGGCAGGAGTGGCCAGCCCAGCGATGGCCAAAGGCAGGGGTGGCCAGCCCAGGGATGGCCAAAGGCAGGGGGTGGCCAAAGGCAGGAGTGGCCAGCCCAGCGATGGCCAAAGGCAGGGGGTGGCCAGCCCAGAGATGCCCGGCCCCCACTGGCAGAACTTTCCAGCCCAGCAAGAGGCACAGGCACGGAATCCCTGAGCCTCAGGAATCACGAGGTGTGCCTGCACCTCGGCCAGGTGAGGGCATGGCTCCCAGGAGGAAGGAGGTGCCCAGGGAGCCAGGAATGAGCTCCTGCCCTCATGGTGGGTCACCAGCAGGACAGGTGGCAGGGCAGGAGTTATTGGCCAACGCCAGAAGAACGTGACCCAGTCCTGAGCAGGGACAGCAGGACCCCGGCACCCCTTCCTCATTCACTGCGTGGGGAAACAACTGTCCTGCTCCAAACCCGGCCCCAGCCACTCCTGCCCTGCCCAGGGGAGCTGCTCCTGCCCCGCAGGCTGGAGCAGCAGCAGGCAGGCAGCCCAGCCCTGCACACACCACGGCAGAGCTGCCAGGCATGTCCAGAAAGCACGACACGTTCTGGAGAGCTGACAGCCCCCAAACTGCAAAGGGGGACGAGGGACACAGTCAGGTACAGCAGCTCCAAAAGGAAATCTGCAGCACAGAGATCCAGCAGATCCAGGGAAGGGATCCTGCAAGGGACACAGGGGCAGGTCCAGCACAGCCAGGGAGGGATTGATGTTGGAAGGGACACAGGGGCAGATCCAGCACAGCCAGGTTGATTGATTGATGTTGGAAGGGACACAGGGCAGGTCCAGCACAGCCAGGTTGATTGATTGATGTTGGAAGGGACCTGTTAAGACCGGGCAGTCCAACCTCTCCTCAGACAAAGGCCAGCCACAGCAGTTACCCAGGGCAGCAGGTACATGCACAGCAATGTCTTGTGATGCACACACAGCACAAGCTCAAAGGGCCTTCTGAGCCCACTCTCTGTTTTTAAGGAACCCTCTGGAGCAGATTGCATCCCCTGTCTGCCCTGGCCAAGCCTTCGAGTTGTGTTTCTGCAGCTGATGTGACATGTCTGTCTGTGTCTGTGAAGCTCCCAGCAACAGTGCTGAGGCTGCAGCAGAGCCCCAGGACATGAACAAAGGGTTGCTGGAGCTGTTAGGTGATCTAAGGGAAGCACAATGTCCAGAGATGCCAGGAATTCAGACACCACCCCCATGTCTCCCTCCTGCTGCAGCGTGATGCTTGGCAGAGCCTTGGTCCACCCCCCGCTCACTTATTCAGTCAGACCAAGAGGTGGAAAATGAAAATAAGGAGAAAGGACAATGGATAAAAGGCTCAGGACAAACCCTCTGAGCCACCACTCAGCTATGCCGTCTCCCAGAAACGGCAAAATCCCAAGGGCAGGCCTGGAAAGGCAACGATTCCCCGGGCAGGATTAGGGACAGGGAGGCAGCCAGGCTCATGTGTGACAGTGCTGGGTCACCACAGCCACCCCCGAGCTGCTACAGGGGCTGCTGGAGCTGCTCCTGCTGCTCAGGCAGGAGGGAGAAGGGGCTGGAACAACCAGGGCAGAGCGATGGTGCACGGCAGGCTCAGGGACACAGATCCAGGTGAGCTCCCCTGGCCCAGCCTGTGCCCTGTGCCCTCCATGCCAGCACAGCCCCTCTCCTGCCCCACCCGCAGGAGATGCATCTTCACTGCCAAGGACAGAGAGAAAAAGTGTTTGGGAGCTGAGCCTGGGACCTGGAAAACACCAGCTGTGTCTGCATGAGGACTGACCCCTCTCCCAGGTCAGCACCACGACTCCTTCCCACACCTTGGTTTTCCTGAGGCATCCAAAAAGGGTTTCTGGCCCAGCCAAGGCTCAGCTCCAGCTCTCCCCTTCACCCGGTGCCCAGGCTCATCATGCTGTGGGAAGGGAACGAGGACATGGGGGCCTTTGCTCCCCAGCATCACCTCGTGCTCTCCTTGCAGGTACCGGCCCCAGGTTCCCACCTGTACCTGGAGAGGAGCCACGCCCACGTGTCACGACAGACACCTGGGCTTCGGGAGATTCCCTGGAGAAGGAGCCACGCTGTCCCCAGCTCCTGGAGCTGCCTTGGCCCCGGGACCCTCCTGCCAGCAGCAGACACGAGGGGTGGCTGCCAGTGCCACCACAGCTCTGGGGACATTGCTCCCCTCGGCGTCTCCCCAGGTGACAAACAGCACCTCTGGGGGGGAGCAGCACTCGTGTCAGGGCAAGAGGAGCCAGGCACCAGCTTAACCCCAGGGCCACGACAATGTCACACTCTCAGTGGCTCTGAAACCAGGCAGGGACAACTCACACGGCTGGAGATCAGAGCTCTACACCACAACCACGGCCTTGGCTCTGCAATGGGCAGACACTCTGCATTTCTGCAGCCACAACCACCACGGCTGCCAGCTCTGCTGCCCGTCAGCAAGGCTCAGACACCTCCTCCTCCTCCTCCTCCTCCTCCTCCTCCTCAAAAACCTCCTGTGACAACCCAGGCTGCCCCAGCCAGCAGGTGATTTTCCCCAGGGACCAAGCACCCAGCAGTGCTGCTGTGTGAGGACTCCTCCAACACGAGCTAAGGGAGTCCAAGACGGGTTCTGCCAACCCTTCCAACCCTGGAAGTGTCCATGCCAAGCTCCTCCTCAGTCTCCTCACCCCTCATTTCCTTTCAGAGGATTTCAGGTCCACCTGTCCAGCCCTGCTAAACAGCCCCTGCCTCCAGCAGGACAGCACATGTTTAATGAAAGGCAGGATCAGACTGTGCAGCAGGAAAATAATTACAATTCTCCTTGTGATTCATGAGCAAGAGGCCCTGCTTCCCCTGCCACCACGGGCTGGGCTCCTGGATGAGCTGTGTGCTTGTCTCCAGGCTGGGTGAACGCATGGGACCCTGCACTGCAGGCACAGGTGTCTGTCTGTCTGTCTGTCCATCCATCTGTCAGCACTGCAGCTCCTCAGATGCTGGCAGCAAACCCAGCTCATGTATTTGAGCCTTGTTTCACTCCCATTCTCCGGGTTAAACATGGGCTTGACATCTCAGGACCTGCCCCAGGAGGAGGCACAGACTGCCCCACGCTCCACGGCACTGGGACACGTGTCTGCCTTGGCTCAGGCACCTACAGGTGAGGTGTGAGGACACCTGGGGCCCTCCCCTCACAGGTGTGAGGAGACACCTGCAACACCTGTGCCAGTGGCATTGGCTGGGGAAATCCAGCCCGGAATAATCAGCAGGAGCTGGAAGCAGCAAAGCAGAACAGCCAGGAGCTGATGAGCTCTAAGGTTAAACCCAGCAGTTCCCAGTCTGTGCTCAAGGCCAGCACGGCACAGGTGAGCACAGAACCGGACAGACCTGTATGCACGGTGCTTCCTTCCCCACCCCTCACACACCTGCCAGCTCCTGAGCCAGCTCCAGGCCAGCGAACTTCTCTGGCTGCAGGTCACCAACACCTGAAAGGTGGCACTTCAGAGGAGTCCCAAAGTCACACCTGACATGGCAGCCACACTCGGGCTGCAGTCAGACCCACGGCAGGAGAGGGGACACAAAGGACACATGGCACCAGGGACACGGAGGGGCCTGGCCAGGCAGGCCAGGGGCACGGAGGGCACCGAGCAGGAGTGGCCCCACAGGCACCAGAGACCCTGGAGCAGAACAGAGCAGCCCCGGGACACAGCCCAGCCCAGCCCTGGGGACACGGGACACAGCCCTGCCCAGGGACACAGCCCTGCCCTGCCCTGGGGACACGGGACACAGCCCAGCCCAGCCCTGGGACACGGGACACAGCCCAGCCCCGGGACACAGCCCAGCCCTGCCCTGGGGACACAGCCGAGCCCGGGGACACGGGACACAGCCCAGCCCTGCCCTGGGGACACGGGACACAGCCCTGCCCTGGGGACACGGGACACAGCCCAGCCCTGGGGACACAGCCCTGCCCTGCCCGGGGGACACAGCCCTGCCCTGCCCAGGGACACAGCCCTGCCCTGCCCGGGGACACTGCCCTGCCCTGGCCCGGGGGACACGGGACACAGCCCTGCCCTGCCCGGGGGACACGGGACACAGCCCTGCCCAGCCCGGGGACACAGCCGTGCCCTGCCCGGGGACACGGGACACAGCCCTGCCCTGCCCTGCCCTGGGACACAGCCCAGCCCTGCCCTGGGGACACGGGACACAGCCCTGCCCTGCCCAGCCCTGGGGACACGGGACACAGCCCAGCCCTGCCCTGGGACACAGCCCGGCCCAGCCCGGGGACACGGGACACAGCCCGGCCCTGCCCGGGGACACGGGACACAGCCCGGCCCTGCCCGGGGACACGGGACACAGCCCGGCCCTGCCCTGCCCTGGGGACACGGGACACAGCCCTGCCCGGGGGACACAGCCCTGCCCTGCCCTGCCCAGCCCTGGGGACACTGCCCTGCCCTGGGGACACAGCCCGGCCCTGCCCAGCCCTGCCCGGGGGACACAGCCCTGCCCAGCCCTGGGGACACAGCCCTGCCCTGCCCTGCCCGGGGGACACAGCCCAGCCCTGCCCCGGGGACACAGCCCTGCCCTGCCCTGCCCGGGGACACTGCCCTGCCCTGCCCTGCCCCGGGGACACTGCCCTCCCCTGCCCTGTCCTCCCCCATCCCCGCAGCCCGGCGGATTTCCGAGTATTTAACCCCGTATCAGCTCCTGAGGAATGCACTGCAAATATATAAAAGTACTTAAGTGCTGGGAATACATTCCAGCAGAGACAAAGGCAGCAGTCTGGGAGCCAAAGGCTCAGCAGCTGCTGCTTGTCAGGCACTGGGGCAGGGCTGAGGAATGCTGTGCCCTCCGGAGGGGACAGCAGCTGTCCCCAGCACAGCCCGACAGAGCCAGGAGCAGGGAGGAACCTCTGCTCCAGGTGCAACAACAAACCAAGGCAGGCCCCAGAAAGGCGATCCCGAGCCAGAATTAAACCAAATCACCACAGCTGGCATCGCAGTGCTGCCAAAGCCTGGGAAGAGATGGATGCTCCCTCTCTGATCTTGGACACAGCAGCAGACAGAGGCTGTGTGAACACAGGGGCTCTGAGCCCAACCCCAGCACTCACAGCCTCAGCCTTGCTCTGGGCAGTGGGTCTGCAGGTCAGCAGGACCACAACTCCCTGTGGCAGGCACAGGCCATTCGGGGGCATTTCCCACTGAAATACTGGAATATATTAAATAATCACGGCACCCAGTGGTTAATGTTATTCAGTCAAAGGCATGTCTCTTCCAGCCTCAGTGATTCTGTGACCCGACTGCACAGGCGTTAATCTGGAGACTGCTGAGCACGCTGGTGAAGCAGCCAAAGCCAGCACGCTGCAGCTACTGCCCAAGGACCTCTGCCCCTTCCTGATCTGCCCCAGCTTTTGTCTTCCCAGCCAGGCCCCCGCCTGGCACACCAGCACCTCAGGGATCACCTCCTCGCATTCAGCCAAGGGACACCATCCCCTTCTAAACCATCCTCTCAGCACAGAAGGGGCAACTGCAATTACAGAAAAGTAATTGACTGATGTGTAATGTCACAGCTATTAGCGAAGGGAAAAATGCCAAAAGTTGTAGTACACAATAACCTGTTGCAATTGTTTCCAATCAGATTGTGTTTTCCCGAGGCAGAAAACATTAATAGGTTTATCCAACAGATACATCTCCAGCAGTGAAGCACCATAAAACAACCAAAAAAAGCCAGGTCTAACTCTGAGACCAGGAATCCAAGAGAAGGCAATGAGACCAAGCCCAGTAACTTGTGCAAAGTGGGGGGCTCAGTGGCAGCCTGTACTCCTGGGATGCAGGAAAGCACAGATGGGGACTGGAGAAGTCTTGGAGAAGAGTTCAGTGTCCCTGTGTGCAAGGACAAACACCCAAACACCCCCTCTGAGCAGGAAGAGGACAAGGAAGGAGGTGCTGGAGCTCAGACATGCTCCAGTAAATGCCCTGAACCAGGAATGGAGCAGGGAGTCAGAGATGCTGGGATGCCACAGCCCCCGCTCAGCACACAGCAGACGGCAAAAAAGGGCTCCAAAATGCAGGAATCACACAGAACAGGTCAGAGGAGACCTGAAGAGGTTAACCCAGCCCTGCCTCTACCTCCAGCCACCAATGAACTAATCCTCCCTGGCAGATTCTCGGCAGCAGCCAAAGGGAGCTGGAGACACCTGAGAGGAGCAGGCAGGGCCTCTGCAGTGCTGCACTCAGGCTTCAGAGAGAGATGGGAACACCAGAGAGACATGGGCGACCCAGCCGGGACCGGCACCGGCCCCGAGCCGGGCAACCCACCCGGGACCGGCCCCCGAGCCGGGCGACCTACCCGGGACCAGCCCCCGAGCCGGGCAACCCACCCGGGACCGGCCCCCGAGCCGGGCAACCTACCCGGGACCAGCCCCCGAGCCGGGCGACCCACCCGGGACCAGCCCCCGAGCCGGGCAACCCACCCGGGACCGGCCCCCGAGCCGGGCGACCCACCCGGGACCAGCCCCCGAGCCGGGCGACCCACCCGGGACCGGCCCCCGAGCCGGGCGACCCACCCGGGACCGGCACCGGCCCCGAGCCACAGCAGGAACCCCAAAGGGCCAAAGCTGAACCCCCCGGCAGCCAAGCCCCGCAGACAGGGCAGGTGTTACATCACCCCACAGAGCCCTACAACAACCCAGGAGAGACTGAGCAGGTGCTTCCACCTCCCTGCAGGTACCAGACCACTGCCACCTGAATGTTCATGGACTTTTTACTCCGCTGAACCTGTCTGCTGCCCAGCTGCCTCTGCACCTCCAATTCCACACACCTGAGCTGGTGGGGAGCACAGGCTGGGCAGCACACCCACACCTGTCCCACACAGAGCTGAACACACCTCAGAGAACGGATTATTAACAGTCACCTCCCTTCCACAGACCACAAGCGCAAAATCCACCTGTGACCTCTTTCCTGTTCTCTTTGTATATCCAAGAATTGGACGCCCCAGAGTTTTGCCAGCTCTTTTCTCCATGACGGAGCACAGACCCTACCCCTCTGCTGTCACCAGGGGAGGTGGCCTGCACTTACTCCAACTTCTGGGCAGCAGCAGTACAGAATATGCGGCTTTTGGAGAGACAAGCACACATCCAGCTGCCCCATCAACCCACGGAGCTCCTGCAAAGCACAGAGAGCCACGCCAGCTCTGCACACAAGCCTCACAACCAGCAAGTGAAACCAGTTTGTTGGCTGGTTTTGTTAAGCAAATGCAGCTGCAGCTTTGACAGCCCGGGATGGAAAGAAGCACATCCAGAGCAGGAGGAGGTGCCCACTGCCAGCCAAGCCTTGGCAGGCTCCAGGGCTGGCTCCACGCAGAGCCACACAGGATTCCCATCTCCCTGACTTTCTCAGGGAAGGGCTATTAATACAGAGAGATTAGCAGGAGAAGCTTTAGTCCTCATGGAAGTAAATAAACCCCAAGATCCTCCTTACAGCACTCAGATGCCAGGAAATTAAAAGCTGCTCTTAATTAGCTCTGCGAGGCCCCATTTTGCTTTGGGAAAGTGACGGCCGTGGCCCGGAGCTGCAGCCGGGTGGGTGCAGGGGGACCCCAGGGACAGGGACACCCCCAGCCCAGGCCACGGAGCCGAACAGGAGGAACTGCTGGAACCCAGCCAGCTCCAAAGGGCCTTGCCACGATGCAAACGGCAACAAGCCCAAACAGGGAAGGACCTGCCCTGGACACAAACGGGCTCCTCTCCCCAAAATCCCCAGTGCAGGCGGATGTCAGCTCCCTGGGCAGTGAGAAGGGTAATTTCTGCACTGGGCTCAGTTCATCGTGGGAGCTGCAGTGAGGAAAAAGCCAAGCAGAGGAACTGCAGCCCCTACACTGGAAATTCCTGGGGCTTCCCTCTCCAGCACCAGCACTGCTAAAACCCTTGGGACCACGGGCAGCCCTTGGGCTTCCCCTCTGCACAGCCCAGAGCCTCAGACACACCCCGGTTCTCCCCTGGGGGGTGTCCAGCCTGTCCCAGCACACTCCTGCTGACACACCAGAGCTCTGAGGTCTCCTCCCTGTGCACAGACTTGTTCAGGATTTCGGCTCCACCCTCCTGTCCTCCTACACCAGGTCCTACCCGCTCTGCTCCACCCAGGTCTCCTCCAACCTCCCCACATCCAAACTGGAGCACTCCTCCCAAAGCACACCAGGAGTCTCTGGAGCCTTCTGGGTTGTGACCAAATTCCATCTGGTGTTCGTTCCTTCCTGGTGAGACCTGTGCCTCTCGAGTGCTCCTGGAGTGGCCTGCAGGACTGAGGGCTTGTGCAGCTCCAGCACAGCGATTGAGCCAGCTGTACCTCCAAAACCCACACTGCCAGGGCAGCACCTGCTCTCCGCCCTGCTCCTGCAGACATCCTGCACCAGTCAGCACGGAGCAAGCCATCTCCACCTCTGGAATTCAGACACCCCCGTGGAAAGCACAGCGGGAATTTATCACTTTCCATTAAATCATGTAGCATCACCCTGGCAGCAAATCCCTGCAATGGGGCAGCAGATGCTCCCGCACAGATTTAATCCTTCCCTTCAAACTGCCCAAGCAGGGGAAATTTAGGCTTAAAAGAGGCAAGCTTCTACAAGGGACAGGTGACAAAGAAGCAAGAGCAGGCAGAAGAGGAGCTGGCACATGGAGAGAAACACAGGGTGACTTCAGCACCGGGAAGGGAGAAATGAGGAGAGCAGAGCATCCCATGGGATCTGGAGCACAGCAGCAGCACAAAGGGCACTGGAAATCCTGCAGAGGAAAATGGTGCCACAGAAAGAGCAAGAGATCCCACGTTTGTGGAACAGGTGAAATAAGGACACAGGAAAGCCTGTCTGAAATACCCAGCTGGTGCTGGGTAAGAAACCTCTCAGAAGAGGAACTATATAAACTCATGCATTTTCAAGAGAGCTGCTTTCCAAAAGAGACCTTTCCAAAAGCCATCCCTCCAATCCTTTCACCTCAAAAATCATCTCCACAGGGAAGTCTTCCCTGAAGCCCTGCTAGAGTCCCCAAGCACAAATGGTGCTGTGCACACGCTCTCATTCCCACTTTTCTGACACATCTCCACACCTGTGTCCTCCAGACCTTCTCCCATGGAGCAGGAGTGTGCAGCCCCACTCTGAAATTCTGCTGCCCTTCCTCCACCTTCCCTCAGGGTAGGCACAAACCCTCCTGCCAGGGTCTCCTTCCCACAAAAGCCTTGTTTCCATGATTCCTCACCTGGAAAACATCTCCCTGACCCAACCAAAGAGCTTTCCCACCACCATCCTTCAGGGACAGTGTGTGCCTGAAGCCAACGTTCCCACCTTCCCTCTTCCTGGTGGAAGGGCAGTTTATATCCAATTTCCATCACCATATTCACCTCGTACTACACACAGATTCCCACTTCTGCCTTGGGTATCTGTCCCTACCAACAGGAGTATCCTCAAAAAATGCCCTTCCTGCAGTGACCTTTGTGCCTGGGACCAAACACACCTTGGCACAGCTCAGGGAAGCACTGTGAACACAAACCTTCAACACACATGGGGCCAAACCTAAGGTGGATCAAACTGCTTCCTTGTTGCACCAGCTGCAGATTTCCTCCTCCTCCCGTGCCTCTGGACCAACCACGGCCCCAGGCACAGCCCTGGAGGGGCTGAGAGGGGACAGGCAGCGGGGTGGGATTCTGCACCTCTGGCATTCCCAAACACTCGGGGCTGCTCTCCTGAACCTGAACCCCTTCTGCTGCAGGTGCTGCAGGCACCCGATGTTCACCTGCCCTGTGAGGGCATCTGGGTTTGGCTGGGGATGGGCTGACACCAGCCATGGCCACAGAAAGCCCTGGGCAGCTCCAGACAGGAGCTGGGAAGGAAGAGTGTGAGCACAGCAAGTCCAAAGCCAAACTCCCTCCAAGCCTCTCCCAGGACACGCAGTGCAAACACTCAAATGTCTCTGCAGATCTCATTTTTGCTTGTTTTCTCCTTCATGCACTGCTCCACTTCTCTCCTGAGCTCGTGTTAACTCACAGCACTGTTATGTCATGTGCCAAGTGGTTCTGCAGCTCAGTTAAACTACATTTTACATAAAAAATTATTCCATTTCCTCTGAACTGAACCCTTCTTGGTTTCACTCAATGCTCTCCTGCAAGCAGCAGCAGTGGTCACTTGCTCCCTGTCCACTCTCCCAGGCCATGATTTAAACTCCAGGCCTCTGCCCTGGGAGGGGAACGGCTCCAGTGACACTGGAGTGACACTGGAGCGACACTGGAGTCCTCTGCACTGGGATGGGGAATGGCTCCAGTTTCACTGGAGTTACACTGGAATTACACTGGAGTTACACTGGAGTTCTCTGCCCTGGGATGGGAATGGCTCCAGGTTTCAGTGCAGTTACACTCCAGTTACTCTCCAGGCCTCTGCCCTGGGATGGGGAATGGCTCCAGGTTTCAGTGCCTCTCCCAGACAGATGGAGACATCCTGAACGCCTTCACCTCCCTTGTGCAAGAGCTGTTATACACGGGCTGTGCTCACACCCTCTGCTGCTCCCTTTTTCTGTCCCTCTCCTGATGAACTCCATCTCCTGAGACCAGGATCTCACTGTTCTGTCCAACTTGTTCTTGCAACAATGCTCCAAGCCGAGCAGATGCCACAGGTCTGTGAAAGAGAAG